GTTGTGAACTACTTGAAGCACCCTACATGTATTAACATATATACTTCACACAACCTTTTGAGGTAGATATTATTATTTCCATTTTAAATATGAGGAAACTGAGGCACCAAATTCATGGAGCTAATAGGCTGTGGAGCCAGGATTAGAACTCAGGAAATCTGACCACAGAGCCCACATTCTTAACCACTAAATTTGCTACCTCACAAAAACTTGTACCAATTTACACTGGCCCCATTAGTAAGTACAGATGCTATACTCAATTTGGGAACACTTCTACTTTTTAATTAATATATTCTTATGCAGATCTGAAACTTACCTTTCTCACCTTAAAGTTAAGGCAGGGAGTTGAAATGCAGGCCTAAATATTCTCTAATACCTTCTGTCTCTTCATTCCCACAGTGAGAGGAATGGGAGTTGAGATGTGGGCTTAACAGCTGTTTCAGTATGGAATGAACACAATAGAATACTTTGTGCCTATACACTCAGGCTTTGAAAATTCATTGCTCCCATACTTATCTCTGCAAAGTGTGCAAAATAATAACAGATAACCACTTATTGAGCACTTATTACGTACCAAGCATGGTGCTTAAATAGTTTGTAGACACTGAGTCATTTGATCAGCAGATGGATATCATTACCCCACTTTGCAACAAGCTAGGGAGCTGCGCTCACAGTTGACCTGCATAATAATGCATAAATGTAAGGCGAATTAGACACTAAACTTCCAGGACTGATCATTTGGCCCTGGTTCTTTATTTAACTGGAATGAATGAGACTGTATTGCCATATAGTTACATACTTAACGAACTCTACTCCCAGCTCCCCTAACAGATGAAAAATAAATAAGTGACCCTACAAAGCTGACCCAGGCCAAAATCAGAGACAATAACAATTTTTTAAGAAGCTCCCTCTGGGATTTTAATTTAAATTCAGTTTAGGGTCAGTAGGGGTTGTTGACCCCCCTGCCACAACCAATTATAAATCTGGCAGGTAGAATGTTCATCACAATGCTGGAAGTGGTGACAATAGTCCCTGTCACAGTGCTGCTGCCACCAAGGAAGTTAGGCCACACAGTGCCATGTGTCTGCAGGAGGATGGCCAAAACCACTGGCGGCTCCTTTAATTGTAAATTTACTTTTTGCTATGGCTGCATCACTAACTTCTAGTGTCAAGATATTGTCATCTATGGATGAGATCCAAAGAATATCAAGAATTGTAAAAAGGGTTAATCAGTCAAAGAAATGTGATTGCATCGGTCAAGAAAAATCAATAATTTTAAAGACCATCTGTTGTTTTAGGGTAGATCCTATCAACAGGAATAAGAGATGACTGATTTCAGAATAAACAACTTATTTTCTAATGAGGTAGGCTTTCTTCATGTGACGACCCTACTGCTTCTGATGCAAGTAGGAAATACGCAGGACACTTATTTCGAAATATTCTCACCAGTTGACTTTCCTATTTTTTCATCATTGTTAAAATTCAGATTGTCCTCTGATAGCCCTTTACAGATTAAAATGAAAAGCTACATTTATAAAATAGTTTTGATCCTATTACTCAAAATTCTTACACAAGAAGTCTGCTAGTCTCAGACCATTTGTGTTTGGAAAACTTTGAAAACCTGTGGAGCCTCTGTAAGCTCATAACTGGTGGTGGCTCCTTCTGCAGCTGTCCTAGTGGGCACCCCAGATGGGGAATGAGTGCAACTCAGGTGAGTCCAGGATGAAGCTGGGATGACAGCAGATGCAGCTTAAGTTCAGGCTCAATCCTCTTTGGGGTACAATTGATCTTTCTTCACAAAGCTTCCCCTCCTGGAGCCATACAAAAAGATCTTGTGAGGCTACTAGAAAACCCCCTGGTGACTTAAAGTCATCCAATTCTCCTTTTACAGTAAGGATTCTTTCCCTAGCCTCACTTTCAGAGCAGATACAGAAATTTTATTTTGTAAAACCTGCTGATGGGTCCTGACTACCTTAGTACCATTTTGGGAAATCTGCTCAAATGGGAAAGGTCCACAAATAACCTTAGATACTACCAACAAGACCCTTGGCCCTCACAAACCTATTACAGAGCAAATTGACTCCCTGGATATTCTAAAACAGGGCAATGGTTCCCATCTGAAAGCAGAGTAGCCTGGGACCCTTCCCACCTCCTAGGCCTCCAAACAGGGTTATTTAAGAATTGGAGAACGTTTTTTTAAGACCTAGACATAGAAAACTGGCTTTGGAGTCAGCTGTGGATTCAAGACTTGGATGTGTCAATTAGAGCTGTGTGGACTTGGGATAAATTGCTTAACTCTGAATCAGGGATTATAGCATGATCTGTCTTGTTAGGAATGTTGTGAGGATTAGACAAGAGACCATCTGCAAAGTGCTTAACCTGCTGTCTCTCAGTAAGCACACAATGAATAGGACAATCAACATCATGGCATCCCTGTCCTCATTTGAGACCACAGCAATTGGGTTTAGGTGCTACACTACTGAAAGGAAGTTTCACCTTCAAGCAGTCTTGGAGAAAGACTCACCCTGTAGTTACCAGACACTTTTTCTGAACACTGCCTCTCCTACCTCCACACACCAATTTTCCACCCAGCAAATGTCCTTCATTGTACCCTCCATGTTGATTTTACAACATTTCTAGATTGTCGACTAAAATCCACAGGAGGGGTGAAGATCCCTCCAAACTCTGGGCCCAAGAGTGTCTGATTGCAAATGGTTGTAGCAGCTTGGTTAAGACCGAGCATGGACTTTGAATTCAGGCCCGAATAGGAATCACATCCCCCACCCCTACGTACTGTAGTGAAGTAACACTCACATGGCCAATTTAACCACTTTGAATCTGCTTTCTTGTTTATACACAAAGGATAACACCTACCTAACTGAGGGGTTGAAAGGACTAAATGAGGTTAACATTTACATGTAAAGTGCTTAGCACAACAGCTGACATGTAGTAGGAACTCAATTCCTAACTATTAAATCCAATTCAAAAAGTGCTAGGTAACTGCAGTCCTTTTGCTGTACACAAACTAGCGAGTAGGTTAAAACTGGAACCAAAAGATAAGCTTGAGATCAGATTATCTTCAAACACTGCTGAATATACATTCTGCCTTTAACAAGGTAAACGTTTTAACAGACTTACGGAGCTATGGCTCACAGTTTACCAACTTTACCTATTCAGATTTCTTACCTTATTCATAAAAATTATTTGTGCACACTACTTAACATCGGTAATTTTATACTAAATTACTTTTCTCTAGAAAGGGTAGAAAGAACCAATTTTTGATGACCTATAGAATATTACTATGATGTATGTACTATTGTCCCCCCCACACCCCCTTTTTTTTAAAGATGACGGGTAAGGGGATCCTAACCCTTGACTTGGTGTTGTCAGCACCACGCTCTCCCACATGAGCTAACCGGCCATCCCTATATGGGATCCGAACCCGTGGCCTTGGTGTTATCAGCACCGCACTCTCCCAAGTGAGCCACGGGCCAGCCCTATTGTCTCCCTTTTTTTACAAATTGGGAAAACAGGACTAGGGCATAAGTTAGGCAGGTGAGGGAAGCAATAGCGTCAGAGGAAGAAATTGAATGCAGGTCTGTCTCAGCGAGGCTGCCCGTCTTTCTGCCCATTCCGTTTGCACTGACTGTTCAGTTTCTCAGGTTTCTTTAAGAGCATGCCTTCTAAATAGGGTTCTCAGGGAGTCATTGTTGAACTGACCAAGTCCCTTTACTGCCATTTGAAGGGAGTAAGAATTTTAGTCAGTTAAGAGACATTTAAAATTTGGTTGTCATCTCCCTTTTCCACCGGTGATTGCAATACAGTGACTACGTAGTCTGCCCACTTGAAACGTTCCAGGTAGATTAATTTTTGAACTATGATTCACCTTCCCTTTCCTGTCTGGCTGGAACACGGAGACTGAACCATCCCTGTCAATAAAGAGCTCGAGTTTCCACCCCGCAAATTGGCGCTATAATGAGATTCTAAGTGGCCGATGCGCAGGTAGGATTTCCTGTCGCCATTTTAAGGAGACACAACTCCTCTGCAAGGAAGTGCCCAGGCAGTTAAAAGGGGTTGTGACTGAAACAAAGAGTTAGCAGAAGAAGGGGAAACGCGCCCAGTTGCCCCTGCCCCGACATCCTGCTGCCTCGTCCCCCACCGCCGCCCGGACCCTGATGCGCCAGGTCCTTCGGGCGGAATCACGTAGGGTCCCCAGGCCCGGCAAGAGCGGCTTCGACCTCTTCGTGTCTAGGCAGGTGCGCGCGCGGACCTCAGCAAATCCTTCGGGTCGCATTTGTCCCCAAACAAAGGGAGGGCTGGCGAAGCCTGCGGTTGCTAGGTCCGGAAGAGGGGAGGCGTCTCCCGCTGTAGGTTTGGGACAAAGGGTCTCCAATGGTGCCCGCGCGCCCCGCTCCCCCGGCCACTTCGGTCCCCTTCCCGCCAGCCCGGGCTGTCTGCGGTTCGCGGGCTGCGCTCCGACCGGCCCCTCCCGCGGCCGTCCTCCCGCTGCGCCCTTCCCACAATGCAACTTCCCTCGCTCCTGCGGCCCCGGCTGGACTCCGCCGTACCCCGACCTCCAGCCCTCCCCCCGCTCACAGCCCTCCTTCCCTCCGCCGGTGCCCCTTCAGCCGGCCCACCTCCATCCCCAAAGGTTGCCATTCTGCAGCTGTTACCGCAGCTGGGTTCTGAGCACGCTGTCGGGCCCCAGGAGGGCGCGGGCCAGATGCCCCCGCACCGCGCAGCCTCCGCTGCCGGTGCCACCCTCCGTGCGCCCGGCACACGCGCGCCCCGCAACCCCTCCCTCACCCCTTCCCCGATGCTCAATCTCCGCCAGCCGCGGTCGCTGCATCTTCAGCGAGAGGCGACAAGGAGACAGCTAGGCGCGGCCGCCAGCAGTGACACCATGTGACAGCCACGGCACAGTGACACGCAGCTTTGGTTAAAGAGCGGGCGCGCCGGAGGGGAGGAGACGGCGCGCGGCACAGGGAGGAATGGCCTGACTTTCCCAGTTAAACCATCGCGAGTCATGGATGCGGAAGGGCGACGCGCCCCCCAGTAGGAGAATGACCGCGATTCGCGACCCTCCGCGCCCGAGCGCGTGGATGTAAGTGCGAGGCTGGCCAGCAGTGGGGGTGGGGGGTGGTGTTCGGGGGAGATTCTGATGCAATCGGCCCGGAAAGGAGGAGGAGAGCCAGGCAAGCGCTGGCTGGGGCAGCCACGCCACTGCGCCTGAAGGTCGCCGGGAACCTCCGCCCTTCACCTTCCTCGGAAGTCCGCCGCGCCACGCCGAGCCTCCCCGCCCGGCCCTCGCTGACGGGGGCCACCTCTCCTGGCCGAGGCAGCCAGACCTTGACACAAAGGACACCAAACGGCTGCGGGTAAAAATCCAGAAGGGCGTACACCTTGACGTCGCCTTTTGCCACCTTTCCCTTTATTTCTCGAGGTGAGTGAGTTTCCGCTACCGGGCAGGGCTGAGGCATCGGCGGCGGGGAGGGAAGGGATATTTTAGGCGGGAGAGGTGGCGGTAACGTGGGCATCATCCCTGCGGGCGCCGGAGCAGGAAGAGCGCAGCCGTGCCCGCTCGTTCCGATGTTGCCTTGGGAAAGGCAGAGTCCGGCTGCCCTGTCCTTCCGCTCCCAACGCACGCAGCCGCGCGAGAACGCGCCAGGGCCCCTGAGTTCACCCTCGCGTGGGCTGGGGCTCACTTTTTTGATCTGTTTTCGTGGTGGCAGAGAGTGGCAGCAGATCACATTTTACGAGGGCCAGGGACCACACGGGTGTGGAGGGAGAGCGCGGCCGCGGTGAGGGCGCGACGGCGTACCCGACGGGTGTTAGAATCCTCGACCTTCGGGGAGAATTCCTGCGTCTGCACGGCCCGGAGGAGAGCGTGGGAGGCCCCCGGGGGTGCTGCGCGCGGCCCGCCAGGTCTCGGCACCCGCCGCCGGCTGCGGCGCGGAGCCGCGGGGCCCGAGGAAACGGGGCACGCTGGCCGCGCCTGCCTCGTGCTCGGCCCCTGTCTGTAATGAGAGGGAGTAGGAGGATGCGGGGGGGGGGGCGGGGCGGATTACTAGAGGATGCTGCCGGTGACTCACTGTCCTTTCCCGCCCTGATGAGGTTTTTTCCAGACGAAGGGGGTGGCAAAGGGAGTAGTGCTTTTGCGAGAGCCGGGAGCCGCTGAGCCGGCGAACAAAAGGCCCCCGCTTGCGCCGGCCCGGTGCGGACCGCGCTCGTCCCCACGCCCTCCCCGGCCCCCGCACCTCGCTCGCGTCCCTAAACGCGGCCACGAACGGCCTTTAAACTCGCCAGGTCGGTGCCGGGAGGAAAGAGCGCTTTCGTCCCCGTGCACAGCCAGCCCTCGCCCCGCAAATAATCCGCCTCCCCGCGCGCCGGGCTCCTGTGCCTCCCCTGGGACCCCGCAGGTTTCCGGGCCGCCCGCGCACGGCTTCCCTGCCGAATCGCCCGCCCCTCGGTGCTGAACTGTCTGCAGAGAAGGTACAAGTGCATATGGCAGCAAAAGGAATTTCGCGGTAACGGCGACACGCTGTTCCCAGCGCCTTTCACAGGCTGCCTTCGGCTGGGGAAGGTGGTGCTACAATTGAGAGTCCTTTGTGTCTTGCTCTGCGGCGCCGACCCAGGGTTTTTACAGCCCTGCTTCTCCGGTGGAAGCGCAGCTGCCGCCAGGATCATGTACTTGCTCAGCATGCAGTGAGTGGAAAAGGCCACCCCACCAACCCCCACCCAGTCCCCCGACTAGGAAACTGTGTTCGTTTGCACTTGGAAGGGGATTTGACATCTCTGCGGTGGGTTTTTGCACTTTTTAATATAAGGGGGAGGGGGAATAAATTTATGGTTTGCGGAATGCAGGGCCCAGCGAGGCTGTAATTTGTCACCTTGATAGAAGAGACTGTGCACCAACTCGTGCTTTTTCTGACGTCAGAAGGACAACGGAAATAAAACTCGAGCTCGGTGGCTGGCTGGCCTCGTTGTCAAACATCTCACGCGGGGTGGGGACTCCGGGTGGGACTCCCAAAATCTAAGCAAAACAGTCAAGCCTGGGGCGCTGATTTGCTGGGAGACTCCTGGATTTTGGTTCCACCCCATCCTCAAAATAGCTTTGCTCTTCGGAGACACTTCAATTCCCAGTGTGTCCCCGTAAGCAACTGGAAGCCGGCCTAGTTTGTTTTGAGGTCTTAATGTTGATGAGGTTTGTTCACTTTTCTTTTCTTCTCTCTCTCTTTTTTTTTTTTGATTGTATTCAGTAACTGTTTCCTACGGAAGGCTTACACTGTGTCTGGCAGCAACTAACAAGATAAAATTCCTGCTTCTGTGAAGCTTTCATTCTTGCAGGGGAAACAGACTATATAATAAATGTATTCTTAAATACATTTCAGGTATTCTTAGTGCAATGAAGAAATAAAACAGGATCATGTGATGGGGGAGGATGCTTGAGATAGAGGACCTACTGGCAGAGCCTGTGTGAGGGGGTGACATTTGTCCTGAGACCTGAATGATGACAAGGGATCAGCTATTTGAATAGTTTGGGGAACGAGGTCCTCAGAAGAAAGAAACAGCAAGAAGAGACCACAAGCAGTTACTTATTACACTCTGCTTTCACTGTAATGTAATTCAGCAGATGAGACTAATAGATTTTAAAGGTGTTTTGGATTCTTTAAAGATATACTCTTGCTAATGTATATTTTCTATGTTGCTCCATGAGTTAAGGCTGTATGATGAAAGCACTGGCATCTGGCTATCACTGCTCTTGTCTTTTCCTCTGCCTGGGTGATCCTTGAGCGCAAAAACTGGTCTTATTCATCGTTCCCTGAGTGCCCAGGACATAGTAGCTGCTTAATAAATACTTGCTGGATTGAGGCCTGGGCCCAGCCATCTTCTTCGCCCCCTTGTGATACTGTCGATCATCCCTTCCTTCCTGTGTCTCATGATTTGTTCCCCTTCTCCTAAGTTTGAAATGTTAGAGTCAGTTTCTACTCTGCCTCTTTCTCTCTTATTACCTTCCCCACTTTTGAGCAGTGACCAGGCCCTTGCAAATGCCCCTCAGATGTCCTATTGTCTCCATTCCCACTGCCCAAGGTCAGGTCCCTGTCACCTGACCTAGAAATGCCAGTTGGAGTAGTGTGATTCTTGGGATACAAGAATCATGAGGCAGCTTTGGAGGCTGAAGAATCTAGTGGTGGGGGGAGGAAGATGTAGGCACAACACGTGGCTAAGAGCGAAGTCATCAATTAATGAAGTGTAACAGCTTTCTGCTTGGTCTCCTCCCTACCAAGCTCTGCTCCCCTAATTCAATCTTGACACTTCCATGAGATTTATATTTCTAAAACTCAGTTCACATTTTTTAAGGACCTTGCTTCTAAAAACCTCCAATGAGTTCCCATTGCCCACAAATGAAGTCTACACTCCTTAGTTGGGCACTGAGGACCCTGCACAATCTGGCTCCTTGCTTCTTTCTATCTTTTTCTCCAGGCATTCCCTTTCTCCCAGTTCACCTTAGGCCCTCCCTATCACTTTTCTGCATCAATGTTTGTATGGATTCCAGATTGGAACACCTACTGAAATCCAATCAATATATATGTGGCAGCCTAGCCCAAATGCATTTTTCCACCTCTTGGAAGAAGTGTTCACTGACCACCTCACTGGCATTTTCATAAGGATTTGTTTATCCTTCACTTTTTTCGCTATTGTCACTCCCGATGGTGGAAGATGGATGATAAGGGCTCAGGCTCTGAGTTGAATGCAAACACCAAGTCTCAAATTACCAGCCCAGGGACTGGGGCAAGTTGTTCAGCATCTCTCCAGTTTTTTTTCACTTGTTAAATCAGAATGATGATGATGATGGTGGTGGTGCCTATTTTATTGAGTTATCCTGAAGATTTAATTAAGATAATGGATGTGAAGTTTTGCACAGTATTAGCACTCCATATATTGAATTAAAAAGGACTGCAGGTTTCTTGTCTATCAGAGAAAGTGGAGAAAGTTGATCAGTAAAGTTCTCTTGACCTCTGAAATTGTACGACTGTTTAATCTTTTAAAAACACTTTTCTGAAAATAATATCTTAATGGAAACTATCTGAATCTTTTCAGTCTCTGGGAGAATATGCATCTATGAGGTGGTGTGGAGATGGGGGAAGTATGTGCAGAAGTAAGCACATTCAAAATCATATGATAGTCTTCAAAAGGACATTTGGTACACTCACCCTAAATTGAGTCTTTTAAAAACATCATTATACTTATTTCTGTTTTGTTTGCATATTCATTTGTTTTCTAGTGAAAAACTGTGTGTCAGGGTTCATTACTAATGGTAGAGGCGTTCAGTGATTGGGAAGGCAGCATGGTTTGGGGAAACTAGCACTGGGCTGGCAGTAAAGAAACTCTGCAGCCATTTACCAGGCGTGATTCTGATATGCAGTGGTTTAGATTTAAAGCAGAGAACAAAACAGAATCAGAAATTAAATGAGGACCTCCATATACTGCCTGATAAAATCTTCGCAATGCAAAATTGTGAGCTTGACTGACTTTCCACCTGATTTTACCAAATCAACTAGTTGTTGACATCATGGAGCCAACAACCTCAGGTTACAATTTATAACCTGAATTTTCCCAGGCACAGAAGCCTGTTCAGTGATACAGCCAGGGCCACATGAAGATTTAATGTGTGGATCTCAGTTTCCATCTCTTAGGAGTGATGAAGATTGGAAAAGAAAGAGACAATGGAAAGGAAAATGAAAGGGACAGGTTAGCCCCATGATACGGAAGGAAGAGGCTCTGAGTGGGAAAGAGACAGGGTGGCGCAAAGAGAAAATTTATTGAACTGTTTTGTTTAGGTTACAAACTGGTGGCTATAGGGCCAAATTAAGTCTGCGAGCATATTCTGCATCATCTATACTTAAAAAAAATTGTTTGAAATTAGTTGCCAACATTTAAATATCAGAATTTTACTTAAAATCTGGATTTCTGGCATTTTTTCAAAAAAAAAAAATTAAAAGATCTGGCTCATTCCTACTGCTAATTGGAGGGAAATAGATGGGACATGTGTCCTCCAGTTCCTTATGCCCAGTCTGCTTTGCTTGTTTATCTTACCTAGCTGGGCACAGGCTGCATTTGCTTTTAACCTTTAGTCTAAATCTGTAGATCTTAACGCTGGCTACATATTAGAGTCCCCTGGAGAGTGTTTAAAATACCCATGCTTAGATCCTGTCCTAGACTAATTAAGTCAGAAACTGTGGGAGGTGTGGTTCCCCCTTATCGCTATTTCTTTTAAAGCTCCCCATTTCCAGTCAGAACTGAGGACTACTGGTCTAAGTCAGCTATTCAAAAGACTTGTCTACAAGTTCATCTTCTTATCTTTGAAAGTGATCCATTAAGAAACATCTACAGAATCATTGATTCAGAGGACTTTTAGAACTGGGAGGGATCTTTGAGAGA